TGTGTGTGTGTGTGTGTCTCGTTTTTTTTATGTTTGTCACATGCAATCTAGTATTACATTTTTTTCCATTGCTGTGGCTTGAAACAATAATTCTGATTTAAATTTTTAACTGAAGATAAAAGCCATCTAAAGAATAGACCTTGACAGTTCATCATTAGATAAGATACTGAATATCAATGGATTGTAAAAATGAACTGCACACATATGGTGGACATAGGTATTGGTCAGCCATTTAAAGCATTTTAATTCATGGTTATTCATCTTGCATTTGTCCCACTGGCTGTTAAGTTGAGTGTTACTTTTTTATGGATTGTATTCCTCTATGAATTTTATTTTTTCAAAAGTTATAGGCTTGGGCAGGTCTACTGCCCCTGAAGGACTGCTTTTATGTTGATGTGAGTGCTTTCAAAGTGAAAAATAAAGTCAGCACTTTGACGTGTCAATGTGTCAAAATAAAAAAAATATAAAAAGACATAAATAATAATAGTGTGTGGCTATGCAGGGGCACATAGGATGCAATGTACTATATATGTGTGCTGTCTCACACTCTGTCATTCTTTCTCTATTTCACTCAATGCTTCCTGCATCACCCTCTATGAATCTTTAACAGTCCATCTGTGCAAAAGACTAGAATTGAATCAATTTGTTGCCTTTCCTTTTCAGTGAACAGCTGAAAGAAAAGGAAGGCTTTTGTGTGGTGTTTGTATACAAGTTGAGGTAAAACTTGCAGCGTCGCTCTGAAAGATGTGAGAGACTAAAAGAGCACTTTATGGCAGACTGTAGTTCTCTCGGCCTCAGAGAGATGTTGTGCTGTTTAGAATTTTTGAATTGGTTGAATTTTACAAAGTGGTGGACTCGGCTCCTTGGTACAGCCTCCCCCTAAACGTTACTGTAATTTCACTTGCTTGTGTTGCCATGGCAATGACTGTCGGGGCAAACAAAAAAACAACAAAAATTTGGGAGGCAAATCGCTGCACAAATGTTGCATTGACGGATATGATTTTATATAATTTTATATGATAGAGGTCAGTGATATTAAAGCAGTAGGCTTACACATTTCCCCTTCTTTTCATGGGAAATGACACTGAAAGAACACTGCTTTTACAAAAACAATGACTCTGTTTGTCCGTACCTGCATACACAAACAATGAGTAGATTTCATATGTCAGTTGCGCATGCTGCCTGTCTGGTTGTTTAGCACACTTAAATGGCAAAGTGCCAGGAAGAATATTAGTGCCACTTGTAATGTTGTGGATCCTGTGGCCTCACCTCTAGCACCACCATGAGGACATTTTTTGGGTGAAATGTCTAGATAACGTTGACGAACCCCTAGGTTTCCATCTAGCTCCAACAACAGGATGCAATATTTCTTTTCCATCGTGTTGGCAATAATAATAAAGACGATCTGATGGTTGTTAACTTCAGTACAGCTACTGAGTTTTGTGGTCCTTCGATATTGAGTCCAGAGCCATCATCAGCTCAAGATTCCAGTGTTCAAGATCCTAAAACTGCAAGAAAAGAAATTCCAATTAGTCCAAAATATAAATGTCAGCAATATTCCCCAACATTTAGACTGCAAACATGGTAAACATTAAGTCTGCTAAAACAACAGCGTGTGAGCACTCATAGAAGGTGACTGCAGTTTCCTGAAGGAACAGAAGATGTCCGGGGAAACCCGCTGGTCCTTATGGGTGGCTCCAAACTGATTCCATAGCCTCTGGTTCACAGCCAAGATCTCCATCCCCCCCAATTTTCTTTAACCTCTTAAGCCCCAAGCCTACCTGATCTCCTGCCTTTTGCCCCCGTATCAGGGGGCGTTGGGGCTTAAGAGGTTAATCAAATCTATAATTCTGGAAAACTTAACCCTTAT